AGATCATTGGGCAAACTAATAACTAGTGTTTGGAACTTTGTGTCTGGCAGATTGCTTGTCTCCATTTTGTTTAGTTCTTTTTCTGTAGCTTTGTTCTGTTCTTTCATGTGAGACATGTTTCTTTCTCTCCCTATTTTGGCTGACTCCCTGTGTTTGTTTTTTATGGATTAGGTAGGACTGCTATGTCTCCCATTCTTAGCAGAGTGGCCTTATGTAGTAGGTGTTCTGTGGGACCCAGTGGTGCAGTCTTCCTGGTCACCAGAGCCAAGTGCTGTAGGTGTGTCCCTTTTCTGGGTTGTGTGCACCGTCCTGTTGTAGTTGAGCCTTGGTTGCTATTTGCATAGCAATGAGAGGGACTGACCCTCAGGCTGATTGGTTCTGAGGACTGACTGTGCCTACGTTGGAGGAGTTGTGGTGCAAGGGCTGACCCTACAGAGCAGGGTTCACTTTAGCAGGGCTTGCCCAACCTACCCTTTGGGTGTGTAGTCCTTGGAGGTGGCTGGGTGATACTCCAGCTTTGTCCAAAACTGGCCATTAGGCATACCAGCCCTAGGGCCTCCTGGAAGGGGACCTGCTGCAGGCCAAGTTTAGCTGCAGCCTGTGCTCTGCCCGGGGCCACCTGGTATGAGCCACAAAGCAATTTGTAGATGGCAGCCACCTGCACTGGGCTTGGACGTGCCTCGAGAGATCAAGCCTTGAACTGAGGCTGGCTGTTGCTAGTGCCAGGATTTGGGCTGCTCAGCCAGAGGTACAGGACACACTGAAGCCAGATGCTGCTTGTTTAGATTTTGTGAACCTTTGAGAAATTTTAGGAAAGTCTGCAGCATGAGCTAAGACAGGTTGTTTGTACGGAAAAGCCACTGGATAAGACTTGGGTATGTCCAAAGGTTGAATGCGGCAGGGTCTCAGAGAATCAAGGCCAATGAACAGGGTTAGCCCGGTTGATGGAGACTGAGATGTGACGTCTGCATGTAGGGAAGGGGAATGCTCAACAAAGAAACAATGGCTTCTGCCAGCTCCACTGTCTGGGAGAAAGCTGCCCCTCCAGCCCTCACCCTGATGCTAGATAATTCTGTTTCTCCCTGTATGTCCCTGGCACCTTTCAAGCTTCTGCCCCAGTGCTGGAGCTCAGAGAGAGTGAGTCCTTCAGCAAGTAATTCCGTGCATGGGCCCTTTAAGAGAAATGCCTAGGTCTGCAGCCACCCTCCATCTCAGTCAGTCACAATCTCCACTGCTTTTCACAGCCAGAAGTTATGGAGATTTCTCTCTTCAGCACTGAAGCCCTGGGGTGGAGAGCCTGGTGTGGATTTTGGGCCCCACGCTCCTCTGGAGGTGGAGAATCTCCGTAGCCAATGTATCCCTCACAATTTTTAATGGGTACATGCAGGTTTGGGACCAGCCAATTCTATGTCTCTGCCTCTCCTATCAGTCTTGAGGTGACTTCTGTATGTCTGCAGTTGTAGGGCTTTGGTTCAGCTAGACTTCAGGCGACTTTAAATGATGATTGTTCTGTAGTTTAGTTGTAATTGATGTGGTCCTGAGAGGAGGTGAGCACAGCATTTACATACTCTGCCATCTTGATTGGAAATCTTATTGAGTTTTTAAAATAAGATAAAACATGCAAAGAGTTTAGCCCAATGTCTGATACATAGCAAGTACTCAGTAAATCTTAGCCTTTGTTATCCAAGAGCTAATTTCTTGCTTAAATATACCACTTCTGGGAGAGAACCCATCAAACTAGTGTGTTTGGGGGGGGAAAAGGCAGTAAGTTGGCCTCCTCGCCCTGTTGCTGAAGGCTCTAGTCCCTACACAGAATTACCTTCACTATTGCCCATTCCTAGTGGTTAAAAGAGTGAGGTCCTCTAAGGACAGAAATATCAAACAGCACAATATCCTTGTTATAATACAGACCAAAAATAAGGATCCCTCTCATGCTACTTCAGAGAAGGGGCTGTTCCTAGAGTGCCTAAGCTCCCAAGTTTTGTCATGAATGATGGAAGATTGGGGTGACAGGAGGGTGGGAAGAGAAGCATGTGGCTCTTGACTAGAGCTCAGTTTATAGTGCCAGGCTGGGAGTCGTTGAAGGCTGAGTCCACATCTTGCACCTTATCCATGGTGAATCTTATCCTCATGCCTTCAATATAGCAGATGGAATAAATCTATCTAGGAATAAATTTGAGGTCTTTTGTATGTAGTCAGCCCAGAACCACCTTTCCACCAACCCCCTCCAAGCAAAGTTGGGAGTTTCCCCTCTCCATCTTACCCATTGCTCAGCCTCTGACTCATGGTGATTTGTGAGACTTTTCCTGCCCAATTCTTTCTTGACCCTCATTTGAACAAGCTTTCACCTGTTTACAAGTGTTGGGGGCATATTATTATGGTAGGCCTTTAAGATCTAGCAGGTGTGCCCCTGAGTGGTGTCTTGAGAAGTCAAGCTTTCTCATAAAATTAACGATGAGAGTCAAGATAATATCTAACAGGCCTGGCATAGGCAGGCTAGGCTTGACTGGTACACACCGGTGCTGATTATTAGCCCTGAAAAGAGCCATGCCATTACTTTGATCTTTGGTTGGATTTTCCTCATTAACATCTCCCCTGAGCAATTAATTCTTCTTATTATGTGTAGTGTGGTTTTTCCTGACCTTGGATCAACTTTAATGTTTTATTAATTCATTTCACAAACATTTGTTTGATTCCTACTCTGTTTTGGGAACTTGACTAGGCATTAGGGCTATGAAGAGGACACCTAGGAGCTCCCAGTCCAGTGGGCTATGTTCTGCAGAGAGTTGCCTTCATCGTTGCCCACTCCTTTGTGGATGAAAATATGAGGTCATGTAAATACAGAGATATCAAACAGTTCAGTATCCTTGTCACAATATACACCAGGAAGACAACAGTTTACGAATCAGAGTGGTGTCTTCCCTAATAGGAATAAGTAGGAGGCACACATGAAAAAGCAATGAACTTAACCTGGGAGTGCTAACTAAGGCTGCACAGAGTAGGGAACACTTCAATTGGATCTTGAAGGTAGAGTTCATCCAACAAGCCCGGAAGTGGTGTATGGGAGGAGGAAGAAGGGCATTCAAGGCAGAAGAAATGGCCTTTTCCAAATTCTATGTTTGACAGACTATGCGATATATGTCTGTTGAACTGCAAGACATTTACTATAGCATCAGGTAAGAACAGTGTTAAATGGGGGTATAGACAAAGGCAAGGGCCAGATGGAGAAAGTCTTTGCCTGTATCATCTTGAAAGAGTCCTCTACATTTTGTGACTCCACGTCATTAATTCCTGTTCATTTTTGACTCATTGTGGTCTCTCAGCGTGCAGCCTTACTCTCTGAATCCAAATCTAATGGACAGCCACCTTTCTATCTTTAGCTTTCTTGACTTCTCAGCAGAGTGTGAAATGTGATAAACACTTTTCATCCTCAAAGTTTAATCTTCCTTGGATTGTAAGATACCACTTTCTCCTGGATTTTGCTGTTTCTCTGGACTTTTCATGTAAGTTTTCATTATAACTTCCTTTCTCTCTGCCTGTGTTGTGGGGTCTCAGGGTTTTGTCCTCAGGCTTCTTTCCTTACAAATCTCTTTTGTTATTTTATATACTGCCACATATTCAATTACTCTCTATCAATTTGATTACATTCAAATTTATATCACTAGCTCAGCCTTCTATTATGAGATCCAGTATGTTAATTTGTCTACTGGATATTGCTTCTTGTATATTCTACAGGCATCACCAGTTCAACGTGTCTACTAGAATACATTATATCTCCCAGCCCTTCCTCTAGTGTTCCCTTTAACAGAGACCAGTATCATTTTCCAACCAGTTGCCTAGGCCTGAGAAGCTCAAAATTATCTTGGAGACCCCTTTTTACCTTTACTTTCTACACCTTGTCAGTCACCAACTTGTTACTAGTTCTACTTTTTAAAATCTCTTTGATATTTTTAATCTTGGTGAAATTCATCTCCATTCTTCTATATCTTCACTACCACTCTCTTGGTCTGTCATCATTTCCCATATGGATTACTATAACAGCCTCCAAACTGGTCTGCCTGTCTAACATCTTGCTCCCTTCCAACCCATTATCCACACTGGTACTTGAATGATCTTTTAAAACTAGAACTCTGATTATAGCATTAATCTGCTTAAAACCATTGTCTACAGGATCTGCTTAAAACCATTGTCTACAGGATCAAATCTAAAAACATATGAATGGCATATGTGACTTGGTGATCTGGTCCTTACCTTAGCTGACATCACAGACCTGAGCAGAACCAATGGCTAGGAATTCTGAGACTAACATATCCCTTTTTTTTTTTAACCCATGTGTCTTACTGCATGCTGTTCCTTCTGCCTGGAAGGTTCTTAGCACCAACCTCCCTCAAAACCTCATTCACCTGTCTAACTTTTCTTTCAATACTCAACTCAGAGAGACGTTCCTCCACCTCTCTCCTCCCCTTCCTTGAAATCTGGGTTTGCATGATTCTCTCTGTCTTTCTCTGTCTGGTCTACTTCAATCATAGAACTTTTTACCCTGCATTGCCATTATCTGTTTAAATCTTTGTCTCTCTCCAAGAGGGCAGTATGGTGGAGAAAATGGACATATTTAAAATGATAATAATGAGAATATCACTAACATAATGCTAACACCATGCCAGATCATGTTATAAGTGCTTACTGTATGTATGTTAACCCATGTAATCCTCACAACACTGTGGGGTGGGCAGTTATAACTGAAGTTGAATCAATAAGACTTGATGATGGATTGAATGTGAAGACAGGAGAAGGAAGAGTCTCAGTAGATGGCACCGCCATCTACTGTTCACCCAAAGTGTGAACATTGGGTGAACATTGCCATTTGTTCATAACCCATATTTCCAGAAGCTTCAGGAATAATGTTAAGTAACACACGTTTCCCTCTGATTGACAGGCATTTGGAAACACCACTGTCCATGTCAAGAAAGCAGACTAACCTTTCAGTATCTCTTCATTAGCTTGCTGGAAGCAGGAGGGCTATGTTCTTGGGATCCTGGCCTTTCTCTGACTTTGTGCTATGGTTCACGGTTCCCAGAAGGCAGCGAGGACACCATGGTCTTGCATCGTTCAAGCTCCTGTGGTGCTTGTGCTTCCTGGCCTCCATATCCTTCCTGCAGCAGGTGTGGGCACCTCCCTACAAGATAGGGGTAGTGGGTCCTTGTGCTTGCAATCCATTGTTCTCAAAGGCCCTGCCTGAGGTTGCTGCTCCATTAGCTGCTGAGCGGATCAAACATCATTTGACCTGGGTTACTCTTTTGAGTATGAGATTCTCAATGAAGACTGCCTGACTTCAAGAGCCCTCTCCAGTTTCATTTCCTACCACTAGATGGCCTCAGGATTTATTGGACCTGCCAACCCTGGCTACTGCGAGGCAGCCTCACTCCTGGGAAACAGCTGGAACAAAGGGATTTTCTCTTGGGCTTGTGTGAATTATAAATTAGACAATAAAAATAGCTACCCGACCTTTTCTCGGACACTCTCTTCTGCCATCCGGGTGCTGGTGACCTTCATGAAATATTTCCAATAGGCTCATGCTGGAGTAATTTCCTCAGATGAAGACATTTGGGTGCACACAGCCAATCAAGTTGCAAATGCTCTTTGGAGCCGTGGCCTACCTGTAGGGGTCATCCTGACCACAGCACAAGACAGTCAAAGCATTTGGAAAGCTCTCCAGCAGATTAGCCAGGCAGACAGAATTCGCAGTGAGTGCTTTCTCCTGGCTGAGGTTTAAACGTGGCTTCAGTGAAAGATATTAAAATAGCCAAAAAGTTTCCTACCCTCATGCCCTAGGATAGCACATTACTACTCCCCAGTTCTTCATGTGTTTGCCTCCTTGCACTCACGCACAGGCCCCAAACCTGTGCTGCTTCAACAGAGCCTATTTTATGAACTGAATAAAGGTACAAAGAATTCTGAGGTTAGAATGCCCTTGGGTGCCAGTGCCTGCTCTTAAAACCAGGGTGGGGAAGAATAACATCAAGAGTAACATATAGCCACACACGCTCTATTCCCTTAGGACCCTGGTAGTTTTCGATTAACCAAAGAGGGGTATTTTTTTAAAGATTTTTATTGGGGAATTGGGGGATGGGAACAGCGCTGGGGAATTGGGGAAGAGGAACAGACAAGTTGCTGTCTTTTTGTTCTTCAGTCTAGTTGTGGAGGATGTTGCTTCACTGGCCCAAGTTGGCACCATCATTGCGCTCTTCCCGGGCGAGGCAGATTAGTCGCTGGCTTCTGGACGGCCGCTCCCGCGGCTTGAAGGCTGCTCACGCTGGCTGCTGGCTACACACGGTAGCCCATGGCAATCCACTGCAGCAGGGACTGCAGCCTACACTGTCGCTGGTGACTCACGGCAGCCCAGCTCCAGGTTGAGCTGTTGTTCAGCATCTTAGCTGTAGAGGGCAGTGTCACTGGCCCTCATATGTGGGATCCGAACCGGGGCCCTCAGGCATCCCAAGCCAGTTCTTAACCAAAAGAGGGATATTCTTATGGTTCCATTTTTGTCTAGTCATTTAAGGGAGATTTTCCTTCCACTACCTTTTAGGTACATTCCCTCAGAGGTGCCCAAGACCCTTGTGTCATCATATCTCACTTAGAACCTGCCTTCTCTAGACTCCCAAATGCATGTCCCTCTTCTGTCCTCCACCCCGAAAAGCAGGGCTTCTTTCTCTGCAGCATACAACTAGCAGGTATGCAGGGTCCTGGCTGATAAATGAAAGCATATTAAAATAAGACCATCTAATGTTTAATCTTTCCCCTTTAAAGAAAAGTTTTATGTTCAAAGATGATTCTTGCAGAGACAATGGACAAAGTATGAAGCACTTTGGACTGACCCACTTAATTACTATCACCAGGGCAAGTTGAGTGCATTTTGGGGAAGGGGGTCTTTTCTGGTCCTTTTTAATCAAATGTCTTTTACTTACACTTATTGCAAGCCCTTGTGACACTTGGTTTTTAATTTTTTCCATTCTAATTTTCTAAATCTCCACTTTATCTTTTTTTTTTAAAGAAATTGACAGTGATTTGTGGGAACACTGCTCATTTCCTCAGTGCAGCCACTCCACCACTTTAGGACAGATAGCTCAGACACTACTTTGTCAAACTGATTACTTCTAGGATTAGTCCTAGTCCCAGTCATTTCCTTAACATAACAATGGGCTTGTTAGAGAACGGTCCAGCTTAGGCCTGGCCCATACCCAGAATTCCATTTTAAGTTTCAAGTGTCTCTAGTATTGAACCTTAATTATGATCATTATTGAAGGATGAGGGCAAGAATTTTTAGTTCCAGGAACTACAGTAGTCTGCTTCCAGCTCCAGTCTACAAGATCTTATAATGTTAAGCAATCAGTGTGGCTCTGATTATTTCAGAATAGAGTTGATACTTGCAAAGCACAGCACAGAATTATTTTTAAACATATGAAACCATTTCCAGGGAGGTGCCATGTCAGAAACAGGCTAATATATTTAATATCATAACTTTAAAATATGTTACAAATCGTCATGAAGCCCAGTGTCTCCTGCAAGTTTACATTCCATGAGTGTTTCACATCCCACCCATTCTAAAAAATGTACTATTCAAAATGGCATTTTGTCCTCTATGATGAAATGTTAAATAAATCCAAGCTCTTTGGGCTGTCAGTCTGACCGAGTGCTCACCACCTATAACTCCTTCGAAGCAAGGAGGTACCAAAGGTACACATTATTGCCCTTCTATTAGAGATTCATTCCTCTAGGAATTACAGTGCTCCGAGGGGCTGGGGCACAATGGACACCTTTTCGAAATGATTGGTGCCAGACTGCCACCTCCAGAGATTCTGATGGTCTGACAGTGGGGCCCCAGCAAAGGTATTTTAAATAGCTTCCCAGGTGCTTGCAAAATGCAGCCAGAATCAAGAACTACTGCTTTAAGTTAATAAAAATGCAAATGAATATTCTGTACTTTAAGTTACCAGTGGTGGGGGGCTGTGGCAGTAGGAGTTGCAGAAGGGGAGTGAGTATTAAAGTAAGATAGCTTGTTGTCCACTTGATTATCCACTGAGAGCAGTGCCGCAGCCTCTAGGAGCATGAAAAGTAGGATTTAAAGTATGAACATAAATAGAGTGTCAGGACTTTAGCTAAGTAGCCTACGGTTCAGAGCATATCTCCGGTCCCATCAGAAAATAAGCCAGAAGCCAGTGAGTATGGATTGGGCCAACAGAGCAGTGAGGGAAGTTACAGCATACCAGGCACAGCATATACCAGATCAAATCCCTAGATGATTTTCTAGCCCTTCTCAACTGGTAGGACTGAGACTGCTAAAGTATTCCTAGCTGTTATCTGTCTTAACTGAAAAGGCACTAAGCTTTTTGTGTGACAGCTGAAAAGAGCTGAGGAAGGCAGAGCCTGGACTCCCCTATTCTGCTGGATATGAGGCTACTTTTTAACACTGTGGACTCCCAAGCAAACCTTCAGAGAAGGACCATTTGTGATATACAAAATAGAGCGGAAAGGGATCCCTTCCCCTGGAGAGGCCTGGCAATATTAAGAAGTAATAGAAATAGCTGGAAGATTGGTTTGTCTGATCTGCTCACAGTAACAGAGACCACAGCCCTGTTTGTGGTAGTGAGAACAGTGGTGGGAGGAAGGGGAGAGAAAGCTAGCTCTACTACTGGCGGCGTTGCCACTTCTCTTTCTTGTAAATTTATGTTTCCAGTTAGGAAATGTCACTGGAACCTTACTTGTGTCAGAAGTACTGCCTTTCTCAGACACAGGTCTAAATTATGCTTACACAATACCAAGACAATGACAAAATTTAACGGTAAAATGATAACAATAATAATAGTTGGGTCTTCGGAAAGGAAACAGCAAGGAGGTGATTAGATGCTACTGTAGAGACAATGAAAACAACCATAATACCACTTTACATGTGAACAGCTCTTTACAATTTACAAGGTATTTGCATATAGATAATTTCATTTGACCCTCAGGATTATTGAGGAGATGGGTATTTTCTTTCCAATTTTATAACACCAGTGAGTCTCACATAACAAGTAGGTAGGTGTAGGTGTTATTAACACAAAAGAATGGGGTAAATGAAGTCTCAGAGGAGGGATTCAGCCTCTCCCAGATTATCAGCTCATTTCCTCTAAACTTCAGAGGCAATTGCCAATTATCTTTGTTTCTGACAAAGTCAAATAGGAGAGAGATTAATCAAAAACAAAGGTCTCATGTTAGAGTCAGGGCTGTTGTGTAGCTATGTAGGTTGTGCCCTGCACAAGGGAATCTGAGTGGACATGAGGGCCAAATCCAGTTCACTCTGATCCTTTAACCATGAGCTCTGATGGAGGTTTTGATCCAATGGGACAAAAGAGCATCCATTCACTAGGCAGAACACCTGTGGGATTGCAATTATCCTGAAGAGGTTCTTTTGCTAATTCTCACAAAGGCTAGCAGGAGGTCCCACTAAAAAGCTCTTTACAGAACTTTTCAAATGGCTATTTCAAGCCCTCGTCTCTTTCCCTCAACTTTTTGCCTATCAATGCTTGGCTAATTGTGAAATCCTTTCAATTTGGGCTTACTAGGTTGCTGAACCATTTAGGGATTCCTTTAAATCCTTCTAAATTGGGAATTCTTCATTACAATATGATGTTCAGCAAATAGGACACAATCAGAATGGCATTCTTTTGTTCTTCCAAAATTAGATACCATATTACTATCTTATTGCCAGGGATCCGGCTAGTTTCTTCCCATCTATTGAAGATTATTGTGCATAAAATAATAACAACAATGACAATAGCTAATATTTATTGAGAGTTTATTATGTGCTAGTCATTTTGCAAGGGCTTCGTATGGACCAGCTCATTCAATTCTTGCAACATCTCTCTAAAGTAAGGCCTATTATTATTTAACACACTTTGTAGATGGGGTGTCTGAGGTGGAGAGGTTAAATCATTTGCCCAATGTCCTATAGCTAATCGGAAAGCCAGGATATCCATTCAGGTTGGTCTAAAGCAGTGCCTTTCAAACCCTAGGTGTGTACCAGAATCCCCTGGAGGGCTTAGTAAAACCGAGATTGCTGGGTCTCTTCTCCATAGTTTCTGATTCAGGAGTACTGAGGTGGGCCCCAGAATTTGCATTTCTAACCAGTTCACAGTGGTGCTGATACTGCTAGTCCAGGGTCCACACTTTGAAAATCACTGGTCTAATGAATAGACTTATGCTCTACTGACTCCTGTCCACTTGAGGTATGCTCCCTAAGGCATACTCATTTGAGGTCCCATGTTCTATGTATGGTGCTTGATTCAGCCCTTCCATTTTTCTTTCTCAACTTTTGGACCCACTGATGAAATACTTTTAAGTGCCTCAGGGTTCCAACCCCATTTTCCTACCACGAATAACAATAGTGATGCTGATAATGCTATGGCCAACAGTCTTAGTCCTGATAGGGAATTTGGTATAGGATTTGGTACAGATAAATGTAAGTGACTATAAATAGTGAAAGAAAAACTTTCTCTCATAAACGAGTCCACTATCAGTAATGATAAAATTATTGAAGACCTAGCACAAGAGGAAATCTCTAAACATCTAGGCTTATTTCATTTAAGAGCCCTTATCTATATAGTAGTTTAGGAAAAGTTGAAGAAAACATGTTGCAAGGTGTAGAGAAATATTGAAAATTTATAACAAGCTGGGCAGCAATGTGAAAGCAATAAATGCAATTGCT